ATCTCTTCCCATACCGCACTGCCCCTCTGCCCCCCCCCACCGATCTTCCTCGCTCCAGGTCCCCCTCCGGTAGACCCCCTCCCCCCTCAGGGTCCTGCTCCCTCAGGTGTGTCTCAGGTAGACCCTCTCTCCCTGGCTGAGCCTGTCGAGGTCACTGTAGACTCAGGTGCTCCTAGGGGTTCTGCGTCTGGGGGTGCTGAGCCTGTGAGTGCGGAGTCTGGGGGTGCTGAGCCTGCGAGTGTGGAGCCTGGGGGTGCTGAGCCTGAGGGTGTGGAGCCTGGGGGTGCTGAGTATGAGGGTGCGGAGTCTGGGGGTGCTGAGCCTAGGGGTTTTGCGTCTGCCGGAGGTCCTGCGGGTGCCTCGCCACGACTGTCTCACCGGCGGGAGCCTCTCTCACCGCTGCAGCTGCGCGAGTGATTTGCTCAGCGCACACGCCTTAGGAGTGGCGCTGTAGGAGCTAAAGGCCCTGCCGCTGGAGGCACTGGAGCTGGATGTGCTGGAGCAACTAGTCCTGTGGGTGCTGGAGCTACTATTCCTTGAGGTGCTGGAGTTACTGCTGGAGCTGGAGGTCCCGTAGGTGCTGGAGCTTCTCGTCCTGGAGGTGCTCGTACTAGAGGTACTGGAGCTGCTGGAGCTGGTGGTGTTGGATGTCAGAATCCCAACCACTAGACCATTGGGATAAAAGGGCTTGTTTGTGTAGCGGGTGTGTGCGTCCATAACCCCCCAGGCGAACGCGCCTGTAACCCCCCGTATGATCAATCCGGCATCCACAGTGCAGATCTACTGACATTGGTGGCACTGGAGCTGGAGACCCGTGAGCTGGAGGCACTGGAGCTGGAGACCCTGGAGCTGGAGGCACTGGTGTTGGAGGCGCTGGAGCTGGAAGCGTTGGAGCTGGAGGCACTGGAGCTGGAGACCCTGGAGCTTGAGGTGCTGGAGCTGGAGACCCTGGAGCTAGAGGTGCTAGCGCTGGGGGTGCTGGAGCTGGCGGTACTGGTGCTGGAGGCACTGTGCAGCGGTGACCGTTTTTTTTTCCGCCGCAGCCGTCGTCTCTGCCGCCACCTGACTCGGTCCTTTGCCAAGTTCTTAGTCTCCCGTCCTCTACTGGCCTTACTCCTAGCTTGCTGTGTCCACCGCCTCACCAGACGCAGCCAAAGTTACAGCCAGACTCCCCACTGCCTGCTCCTTCTCCTTACGCTGAGCAGACAGACTCTCTTACAGAGCGTCGTGAGCCTGAGTCTCGTCCTGCCTCGCCTGTTCGCGCTGTTCGCACTGGTCGCCATGTTCCTCGTCCGCGTCCTCCTCCTATCTCCGGCACTCACATTATGGCACTTCGTCCTTCCTCTATTCCACTGCGAGTTCCCCTGCCGTCTCCTCCTGCGTCCTCTCTTGCTGACGGTCCGGACCTTGAGTCTGACTTAGTTCGTGCTGCTAGTCCTACTGTCACACGTCTTCTAGTCATTGTTGTCACTAACCCTTCATTTGAGTCCGCTATTGCGTCTGCCCTAGTTGCTGAGCTTGTTGACTTTGCTGCGGCTTGTCGTTACTCTTGTTGCTGAGTCTGACTCTGACTGACCTCCGTCCATCGAGGGAGAGTGTGCTCTTGGCACGGACATCCTTGAGGACAGGCAGGAAGAATTTGAGTGTCTTGCAGCTGCTGTCCTCATCTCGTGGCCATGCTGCTTGCACCTGAGGGAGACCCGGATGCACCAGACATCCCGACCCCGCGCTCTTACGCAGAGGCGATTATGGGTCCCTACTCCTCTTAGTGGCAGACAGCAATGGACGCAGAGATGGCATCCTGGAAGTCCACAGGCTCCTACGTCGACGCATTTCCCCCTCCTGGGGCGAACATAGTCGATGGCATGTGGATTTTCAGGGTGAAGCGGCCGCCGGGCTCTCCGCCTGTCTTCAAGGCTCGTTACGTTGCACGAGGCATCAGTCAGCGTCAGGGAGTTGACTTCTTCCATACCTTCTCCCCTACACCGAAGATGACCACTCTTTGGGTGCTGCTGCACGTCGCCGCTCAGCGTGACTACGAACTGCACTATCTTGACTTCAGCACAGCTTTCTTACAGGGCAGCCTGCATGAGGAGATCTGGCTGCGCTGCCCACCTAGCTTCACTGGGTCGTTTCCTGCAGGTACCCAGTGGAGCCTCTAGCTGCCAGTCTACGGTCTCCGCCAGGCGCCTCGCGAGTGGCATGACACAGTGAGGACGACGCTTGCGGCTCTTGGCTTTGCTCCTTCAACTGCTGACCCGTCGCTTTTTCTGCGCACTGACACTTCGCTGCCGCCGTTCTACATCCTCGTGTACATCGATGACTTGGTTTTTGCCAATGCGGACACTGAGACACTGGCCCTTGTGAAGTCGGAGCTACAAAAGAGACACACCTGCACTGACCTGGGTGATCTGCGCAGCTATCTTGGCTTGCAGATCACCCGGGACAGAGCACGGCGCACCATCACCGTGACGCAGTCACACATGGTGCACCAGGTCCTTCAGCGCTTTGGCTTCCGGTACTCCTCGCCACAGTCCACTCCTCTGCCTACCGGTCACTCCCTCTCAGCTCCACTTTCGGACATGTCCGTAGAGCCGAGTGGCCCGTATCCAGAGCTTGTGGGCTGCCTCATGTACCTGATGACATGCACTCGACCTGACCTTGCCTACCCTCTTAGCATCATGGCACGCTACGTTGCGCCCGGGAGACACCGACCTGAGCACTGAGAGGCCGCTAAGAGGGTGTTGCGCTACTTGTGCAGTATATCGGGCATGGGGCTCGTGCTTGGAGGACGAGGTCCAGTTGTCCTCATTGGTCACGCAGACGCTTCTTGGGTTGACGACTTGGCTACGCAACGGTTGTCACAGGGTTACACTTTCAGCCTCTGCCCCGGCTCTGTTTCTTGGCGGTCTACCCGCTCGTCTTCTGTTCTCAGTTCCAGCTGTGAGGCTGAGATCTACGCAGGGGCCATGGCTGCACAGGAGTTACGCTGGCTCACCTACCTGCTGACCGACTTGGGAGAGCGGCTTCGTTCTCCTCCAGTTCTGTACGTAGACAACAAGGCCATGATTGCCTTGTGTCAGGAGCACAGACTGGAGCACAGAACGAAGCACATCGCTCTGCGTTACTTCCTTGCTCGAGAGTTGCAGCAGCGTGGTCAGCTTCGTCTTGCTTACGTGGCCACTCGGGCCAACACTGCTGATATATTCACCAAGGCACTTCAGCCTGGTGATCATCAGCGTTTCTGTACTATTTTAGGCCTTGTGCCTACTTTGCCTCACTTACTCACTTCATGATTTTGCTTGTACTGTGATCTATATATATACTTGCATGCTTACACTTGCTAGGTTATGATCACTGTACTCTGCATGGTACTGTTTGTTCTCTTTTATATAACTCTGCATGTGAACTGGCCTTGTGGCCATTTGCTTGTGCTCGGAATGTGTGGTGACTTCGTGATCCACCATGAGCTTGCTTTGCTTTTCTTGACAGGTCTTGTGACCACTTGTTCTCCCCCACTTTGCCTATGGGGGTGTGTCAAAATGTTATCGTTGTGTGGGCTGTAGAGGGGTAGCCCATAAGGGGTACAACCGAATCAGGGTTAGTACTTGTACCAACTTTCTGCTCAATGCATTTATTCTCGTTTAGTATTCTGACATCCTGCTCTGAATACCATGTCAGAATCAACTGTGCAGAAATGGTTGACTAGCAAGCAAGGATAAGTACAAGTACTAGGTTTGACCTAAAGTGTTGTACTCAGTAGAGGCTACCCCACTACAACCTACACATACAAATATAATTTGACATATCACTACAATTATAACCCTCACCCTCTCTGAAAAACAATCTCCATTGCCTACCCTTGTGGTGTGCGGGACTTTTGAGTTGCCCAGTGTGGGGTTTGATGAGGTGAGGTGACAATGACTCGAGAATTTCCGCCCCCAGATTGCAGCCTTGTTACGCTGATTTGTAGCCTTCTTACACTGATTCAGCCTTTTTTCAACGTTTTTTTCTAAGCTAGTACTGATTTATATATTATCAGCCTTTTGTCATGGACAAACACTGATTGTGTGTGTAAATGTGCAGTTTTGGCCGTTTCAGCGTGCCCCAAAGCCAATGTAGGGGCCGTAATTCAAACTGACCCTTTGAATTTCGTGCACACGCCATAATCACTCGTCCCATCTTCGCTCGCTGTTGCACCTCCACAAATACTGAGTCATTGAAACAATGGCTGAATAAGTTGATTGCAACATTAGGCATTTATTTTCCTTCTCAGTTGCTTCCAAATACAGCCTCAACAAAATGGAAAGAGTAAGTCAATGTCAAAGAGACTAAGACAAAATAAATGCCATACCCCATTCCGCCTGTAATGGCAAACTGTTTAGCAACTACAGGAGAGCAGGCGAAGCAGGGCAGAAGGGGCATGCAGGATGTTGGTTGGGAGTGGAAAGGGAGGCACAATAGGGAGAGACGATGGAATTGGTAAGCCTGCTGAGCTGACATAATGATACACATGCAGGAGCACTGATACATAGCATCACAAAATTTACGAACAGAAGGAACAATGAGCATAATGCTGCGCTGCGAGACAGCGTTGGACCAGGACCAATGAGCTACAGGTATGTGTATTAGCCCCCACTTCTGAGAATTCTGTCAAGTGATTTCAACATTGGACCAGGACCAATGAGCTACGGGTACGTGTGTAAGCCCCCAAAGACACAGTACCAGCAACTAAACACACCCTAGATGTGGTAGGTATACGGGTAGGGGGATACATCTCTCATCAAACTTTTCTATTGGTGTGCATTACGCCGCACAACAATGAATAGCACAATTCTCACGACGAGAATATCCTTTGTGGGTTCCATGGTTATGAATCCGCAATTCAAGATTGTTGCCTTGCCCAGTGATCAAATAGAATAAAACGCACTGTTGCGCTGTCTTTGCAGCATGAATGAAAAGCGCATGAATCACACAACAGTGACGCAGCAGAACCATACCTGATTTTGTCGTTCCCGTGCTGTTGCTGCCGCTGCTGCTACCGACACTGTTATTACTGCCACCACTACCATCGTTGCTGCTGCCACCACCACTGGACAGGCTTGGTTGAGGAGGAGAGGTTGGGGGAGACAGTAGAGGAGCTGTAGATTCCAGGGGGGCATGAAGGCAAGACACAAGACAGAGCTTTACTGGGACAGAGAGGCATAGGAGGAACAGAGAGGGTTGTAAGAGCACTTGCAGGAAAAAAAGATGAAGGAAGGCAAACAAAAGAAGGATACAAACAGCAAAAAGGCATTCACGCGCAAGTGCACACACGCACGCACGCACGCACACAAATTAGTCAAAACAGGAGGAGTTGAACTGGTTTGAGGAAAGGGCTAGAAGAGAGGGAGGGAGGGACCGAGAGACAGTGGTACAATGAGCAGCAGGCGTAGAATTGATGCTGACTACGCAGCTCCTATAACCCATGAATGAATCCATCAGTTCAGACGCTTTTGCACCATGACAGGAAATGTCATGAGTCATGACTACTAATGTGACAGGACAGACAGGACAGTTCGCTTGACTTTGCCATTGCACAATCATGGTGGTAGCGGGATGGGACTTTGCATGGAGGTTGAAGAGGTGAAGGCACTGCCAGAAGGACGTTACCGGAGGATTGAAGGGATGGCGCTGATGCAGACGGGGCGGGAGAGGCCGGAGAGGAAGGGGGAATGGCAGGAGGTTGATTGGGCGGGGTGGCGGGAGGTTGAGTTAGGTTGGGCGTGGGAGGTTGAGTTGGGGAAATGGCAGGAGGTTGTGTGGGCGGAGAGGCAAAGGGTTGAGTGGGGGCTGTGGCAGGCGGTTCAGCCGGGGCAGTGGCAGGAGGTTGGATGAGAGGGGAAGGAGCAGGTGCAGTGGAGGGTGCAGCAGCAGGAGGGGGTGTAGGGGGCAATGTGGAGTTGAGATAATCCCAGGTGGTACCTGCATTGCCGAAAGGTGATGCACACGAGTGGGAATTTTTATTAAGAAGGGGAGGAAAGAGGGCGAGGGGGGGGGAGGAGAAGACGGGGCAGAAGAGCAGTCGAGACAGCTGGAAACTCAAACTGAGAAACGAAGCTAGAAACCCAAGCTAGACACACATCGGGGCACACATCAGCTCAGCGCACACACTATCAGGGCACAAAGGCTCACAGTTGAGGGATCTAAAGTGCATCTTCTGAGACGTGAGGTCGAACCATAGATAGTGGTCTGCTAGCCATTGCGCTGCCCATGCAGGCGTGGGCCGGGAAGGGGAGGGAGGGAGGGGGGGAAGGGGGGAGGGAGGGAGGAGGGGAGGGAGGTGGGGAGAGAGGGGCACATATGTATGCAATGTGTGCTTCTGCGTGTTGAAGGAAACATGAGAAAGAGAACCTTGAAGGTGAACAACAGCAACATCAGCGGTATGTGCTGCTCCAGAGATGCACCTTCTACCAGCCGTCATTCCTTTCCCCTCCTCCCCCCCCACCCTCCCCACCCCCACCCCCTCGTCCCGTGCTCTCTGCTCCCCCACAGCACTCACTGCCCAGATATGCATCGTGCACGGAGTCATCTGGCAGAGGCACGGCTGCCAGGCACAGCAGCAGGTTGGCTGCTGTGGCCCCCTGGTGATGACGGCGAGGAGAGGGACGAGGAGAGGGAGACGATGGGGGGAGACAAGACGGGAAGGGTGGAGAGGAGATGGGAGGAGTGGAGAGGATAAGGGAAGAAAACATGAAAGACTGTTCTGAGGGAATGCAGAGCAACGGAAGGTGGGCGCTGCTGCTGCAGGGTACCTTGGTAACTCTGAAGTACCAGAGCACTCTGGTAATGGTACGAGCAAGTGCTGGTTAGCTAGAAGAGTACTCCGAACTACCTTGGTGTAGCAGCGACGATTCAAGAACTGTGCATAGTGGGCAGAAGAACTAGCAGTTGAGTGTGTGCAGGTCACAACTGTCTCACACGCACGGAGTGGAGTCAGCGAGCAGGGTAGGATGGCTGACAGGAGACCTTTGATGCGAGAGCGATGAGAGGTGGGAGGGAGATGAGAGAGGGGAGGGAGATGAGAGGAACGAGCGAGAAGAAAGAAGGGAGCCGGGCGGGAGGGGGAGGGGGGCCAAGGTTGGAGAGGGGAGGAAGACAAGAGAAGGGAGGGAGACAAGTGAAGGGAGCGAGATGAGAGAAGGGGGCGAGATGAGAGAAGGGAGGGAGATGAGAGAAGGGAGGGAGATGAGAGAAGGGAGCGAGATGAGAGAAGGGAGGGAGACGACAGGAGGGGAGCTGAGATGAAGGAGATTGGGCGCACGTCAAGCATGAGGTAAGTGGAGGGATGCACGTAGTAGCTGGTGTCTGGAAATTCCAACACCACCGGGGGGAACGTCTCGTTCGTGGCCTTGCTGGGTAGGCAAGGGGTGGGGCAGGGGAGGGCGGAAAGGGTGGGGAAGTGGGGAAGTGGGGGGTCGGAGGTGATGAGGGAGGGGAAGAAACGGATGATGGGGGGAGATGGTTAGGGGGAGGGGATGTGGGAAAGAGGTTGTGGGTTGATAGATGCAAGTGCATGAATGGAACGATGTGAGGGTGCGACGAGTTGGGAGGTGATGGTAGGAGAGCAACGGAAAGGGGAAGGAAGATTGAAAGCATAAGGAGATGAAGGCGTCGGAGAGAGGACGGGAGGAGGGAAGCAGACGAGGGGGAGAGGGAGGGAAGAGGGGATATGGGGCTTGATGGTGGGGAATGGGGGGAAGGGAAGGATTGGGACATGCAGACGCACATAATTCAACAAAGAGAGTGCTTGACCGAAGCAGAAAAGGCGTTAAATTGCAACAAAAACAGCCCCCTGAACGCAACAGAACAAGCCCCTGGCACCTGAGATACCAAGAGAAACATCACCCGAGCGCGAAAAAAATGCCAAAGAACACCTGATGGGAACAGATGCGCAGGCGAAGCCATCGACATCTTGTCGAACAAGTTGAGGTTGTGAGAAGACAAGGTCCACTAGCTGCTGCAGCAGGGGGGGGCGCAGGGCGAGGTAGGGGAAGGTGGTGTCCACCACCACTCCCCCCCTCGCATCCGCTCTGATGCTGCCCAGTGCTGCGCTGGCTGGCAGGGGTGTGCTGCCCACTCGCACCTGCGTCACGTTCAGGTAGTAGCGCGAACTGGGTAGGGGGATTGGAAGGGGGATGAGTGGAGGAGGGGGACGGGAGAGGGGGGTGGGTGGAGGACGGGGGCGGTGGAGAGAAGGGAAGGGAAGGGGATGGGAAAGGAGGGGGGGGGAGAGGAACAGGGGGAGGGGGAAAGGGGAGATGGGGGTGAGGAGGGGAAGTGGGGAGTTTGGGAGAAAGCTCCCATGAGTGTAGGAGTGGGAGGGGGAGGGGTAGGAAAAAGGAGAATGGGGAATGGGAGGAGAAAGTCCAGGAGGGTGCGGGAAGGGTACGTGGACGCACCACAATAAGTTGTAAGGCGCCTCAAGAGTGCATAACAACACTGCATGCATCACGATTCACATCGCTATATGGAGGCGGAAAGACAATGGCACAAACTACTCCTCCACTCTCTCACCCTCCCACCCTCCCATCCACTCACCCTTCCACCCTCCCACCCTCCCACCTTCTCACCCTAACCTCTGTGCATGCAGGGGGCGCCTCACCTGTTAGCAGCGAGCATGAAGGAGGTGGTTTTGAGCTTGCCGGGGTGCGGAGGGTCACCTAGCACCAGCGCTCCCTGGGCAGTGCCGCTGTCGAAGCACAGTGAGAAGGACAGCGGCAGAGGCGGCGATGCAGCCTCTGCTGCTGTTGAGGCGGCTGCTTCTGCTGATGGTATTGCCTGTCCTGCTGCTGCTCCCCCAGCCGCTGCGCCTACAGCCAATGACAGCAGGGAGGCTGTGGTCATGGCTGATCCTCCAGGCAGAGGAGCTGGCGCACTGATGGCAGCGGTGGGGGAGGCAAGCTGGGCAGGGATGGAGAAGGCGCGGGCTCCCAGGGCCAACACGCCATCCACACCAATGTCCGTTGCTGGGTCACTGCTGCTGCTGCCGCTGCAGCTGTGGGGGGTTTGAGGGAGGAGAGGGGAAGGGGGGAAAGGGGGAAGGGGGGAAGGAGGAGAAAAGGGCGGGAAGACGGGATGGGAAGGGAGAAGGAGCGAGTACAGGGGGGAATGCACACATACTGAAGTTTTCCTCCCACGGATGGCCAGAAGTAAGTGCGGAAAGGAAGGGGGGGAAGGGAATGGGGGGTGCTTATTTTGAACACCTTTGCATTTCTGATTCAGGCTAGTTTACATGTTCGTGCCTCGCATGGTTGGATGCGTAAATGTGTGTAGAAGTAACCACAATGACTTTCTGGGCTTGCCAAACCAAGCTTGTAAGGTAAATACGAACTCACTTCAGATCTGTATTTCGAAAGAACCGGAATTCTTTCAACGGGCAGCAAGCGGCAGCCATGCCATGGTCAAAACAGGCAGGCAAGCCACAGCAAGTCATGACTCATGCGTGCAACGCAAAAGGCAATACCCTTGACAGGCAGGCTTACCCGAAGGTGACTCGAGTGCGTCGAAGCACATAGACGGTGGAGAGCAGCGAGATCAGGTCCGAGATGAGTGGCCCTGCACTTGAGGCGCCTCAAAAGGCGGGCTTACCCAAAGGTGACTCGTGCGCGTCGCAGTGAGGAGTTGGTGGAGAGCAGAGAAAGCAGGTCCGAGATGAGTGGCCCTGCACTGCCACCCGCTGCACTGCCGCTGGTGGGGTTGAACGTGCACACGCCGCCTGCTGTCGCCGTTGCTGCAGCAGCTGCAGCTGGTGGTGCAGCTGGTGCTGATGCTGGCGATGATGATAGTGGTGTTGATGGTGTGGGTGCAGCACCAGTACTGCTGCTGCTGCTGCTGCTGTTGCAGGAGAACATGGAGGCTTGAGGGCAGGAGGGGGAGTTGCAGGGCACAGGGCGTGATGTGGCAGAGGAGGAAGGCTCAAAGACTGTGCGGTTCTGAGAGTGTGGGTGAGGGGCGAGCGAGAGGAGAGGGGATGGAGGGATTTTTGAGGCGCCTCAAAAGGATGGAGGGATTTTTGAGGCGCCTCAAAAGGATGGAGGGATTTTTTAGCTGACCACGAATGCGGTGGAGTGTGTAGGACTCCGCAAAGTGGGTGAGGGGCGAGAAAGAAGCAGAATTTATGAATATTTGGAAGCAAATCAGGGGCTTGGGGGAACAACAAAAGAGCGGAGGAGAAACGGAGAGCAAGTGGGGCACAGTGCAGGGCAGCACTGTGCATTGGTGGTGGACGCTGTTTGGATGGGTGCAGGGACGAACGACATGCATGGAGAGGAGAACCAGCAGGACGACAAGGGATGGGGCATTGCAGGTCAGGTGACTAGGGGAGGGAGAGAAAGGGCACCTGGAGGATGTCGGAGGGCGCAGGATAGGAGGAGGGGGCGCAGTGGCAGAGCAGCCAGGAAAGGCTGGAGAGCGTATCCACCAACACCACCACAGCACGCGCAGGCGACCCCACCGCGATGCTCGTGTACAGCGGGCTGTGTGGGGAGTGGAGCGGAGGGGGGGTTTAGGATTTAGGGGGAGTGGGGGGGAAATGGCAGGAGGAAGAGGGGGTGGACGGGGAAGGAAATGGGAGGAGTGGGAGGGAAGGGCTAAACTGAGAGAAGATAGGGACAGAGGGGGGGAGAGGAAACAGACTCGACGGTCTGACAGTGGAGAGGAAACAGACGAACATAGGCCAGTGCAGAGAGGGTTGCAGCAGGTGACCTGTATTTGAAGGGCGAGAAGACGCGGAAGACAGCATTGTTGGTGGGCAGGTCACTGGAGCCCTGCAGGTACACAGGCTGCCCATGCCACACCACACCAAACCACACCGAGGGATAGCACATCAGGCATGGGAGAGAGACGGACATAGAGAGAGGTCATGACTCATGACTCATGCGCTACATATATCGAGACGAGATAGAGGAACCATTTCAGTGCTTATACAATGAAGGACCATTTCGAGAGGGAGAGAAACCATGCGCGTGGCAGAAACAGAAGAGAAACCAGGGGCTCTTTCAGTTCTGTCTGCTCGAGGTATGAGGCTCACATGGGGTTTCTAGTTTCAACCAACCCCACATGTGGTGGGCACTCCGACAATCGTACATAAGGGATTTAAATCAACTGTACACGTGGCGTTTGATAGACGCGAGTGGCGGAACCAAAAAACACCAGCGTGAATCCAACATGGCCCAGTGAACCAGTCTGATAGCCGTGGCCCATGGTGGGTGGGTGGGTGGTGTCGGAGTAGTGTGGCAGACCAACCAACGTCATCCTCCCAAGCTGGCTTCTTCTTGCATGCTAGAACGAGGTTATCTGCTTAGTGAATGGGCACATGGGCCCATGTGTTATCCCAATCCTTCCTCCTTCGCCCCATCACGCACACCATGCGGCAGCACTCACAAGGGACGCAGGCAGGGCAGCATTGAGAGCGCCTGCAGTACGCTCATGCGCTGATGCTGCAGGGGCAGGGAGGGCAGGGAGGGCAGGGAGGGCAGGGAGGGCAGGGAGGGCAGGGAGGGCAGGGAGGGCAGGGAGGGCATGGAGGGCAGGGAGGGCAGGGAGGGCAGGGAGGGCAGGGAGGGCAGGGAGGGCAGGGAGGGCAGGGAGGGCAGGGAGGGCAGGGGAAGGGAGGGCAGGGAGGGCAGGGAGGGCAGGGAGGGCAGGGAGGGCAGGGACATTAGCAACGTCAGTGATGGCAGGGATGGCAGCAGGAATGGCAGGAGACGCACACCAGCGTCAGCAGTGGCAGGCGAAGGCTGTATGTCCGAGCTCAGCAGGCCTCGAGCACAGGCACGCAACTCCATGTCCACATCACCATCCACGTCACCATCCACGTCAGTGACGTCACCATCCACGTCCATGACCCTTCCTGCGCCCCAATCCTGGACTCTCTCTTGCCCTTCCGCCTCTGCCTCCACCCTCTCGGCCCCCCCAGCTGCACCATCCACGGCACCTCCCCCGCCCGTCCCCCCCACACGCTTGTCCGCACACACACCCGTACCATCTCCTTTCCTCACACCAGCAGCAGAACCAGAACCAGAACCAGCAGTGTTGCTGCTACCACCACCCATCCCAGATTCAGACGCCCAAATGTCAGCACTTCCAGTCGCGCCCTCCCCCTCCCCTCGCTCCACACTCCTCACACTCTGCTGCCCGTTCACCTGCCCCTCCAGCTCGTTCAATTGGAAGTACTGTCCTTTCACCTGCCCATTCATCCACCCAGATATTACCCTTGTCGCCCAGGACCAAGACCATATCTGTTCTCTCAGTCTGCTTCCTTCGTCCCCCCATCCGCCTCCACTAACTGCTCCGCCGACCACCTCGCCATGCGGCCTGCCTGCGCTCCCCCGTCCACCCCTTCCGCCCACGCCGCCCCCCTCCCCCCCATCTTCCGCCGCTCCTTCCGCTTCTCCCCCGCCCTGCCCCCTTTGCGTGTTACCCCGTGCTGCGGGCAGTGAAGGCTTATCAGCAGAACTCAGGGGAGCGTGGCACGAGGCGAGGAGCAGCAGCAGGCAGCAGACTGTGGACACGACACATTGGCGCACGGGCCGCGTTTGGCGCTCGTAGCGCGAGTACCGCACGTCGCGGCGGAAGCGGAATCGTGGCCGTGGCGCATGCGGGTAATGCCCGTGCGGCGAACGCGCCGGCATGGCCGGCGGCGCGGCGGAAAAAAGCCGGTACTGTGGAACAGAAAAGAATGAGATTTCCTAGAATTCGTTAAAAAACTCGGGGTTGGGATGACACTGCACGGTACTTCCTACATTCACCAGCATGCCAGCGGGATAATTAGGAGGCTCCAGGGCAGGCAGCGGGCACCGTGTCAGCTCCGTGCGTGACAGGGACGAGGGAGGACGTAGGGCAGTGGGCACTGTGGAAACGCGCGGAACGTACTAACGCGTACAGGAACGTACGAGCGGACCAGACCGCAACTGCAGCTGACGTGAAAACCGCAAAATTACTTGCGATTGTGGGGCCGGACAAACGTTCTTTTCATTCTTTCTGCGTGTTTGTCCTATTTTCGACTAGTACATCAGTATGGTGCGACTTTTGGCGCTACGGCACCTTCGGCCAACGTTGTGCACAGCACTGGGGAATATCTCAGCGGAAATGGGTCAGCACGCCTGACGACCTGTTGAGATATATTCGGCGGTTAGTAGTGGAACTTCCTAACAAATCCAATTGCCTTCGTGGCTATCTTCCCACACAACGGTACGGTTGGTTGGGATTTATATCGGTACGCGGCACCTGGTGCCACGAATCGCTGCTGAAAAAAGGCGGTGCTCTGCTGAATGTGTGAAGGTTTCGAGCCACAAGTCTGCCAAGTCGGAAGCAGGCCTGTCGATTGACGGGCATATGCCCTTAATGCCCTGAAATTCCGGGCTACGTTTGCTCCAGATCGACTGCATAAAGTGTTAGGATCGCCCTGCACCCGTGACACTAAGTGCTTCGTTCGACCCTTCCCCGGATACGTTAAGTGCTCCAACCAGGCCTCCCCACCCACAAAGTTTTGATTTCCGGTTCTAGGACCCCCCCCCCCCCAAGAAATTCTGCCTGACCCCCCCACTCCCCCCCCTTTCTCCTTAGGTTCAACGAGAGCGCGCCAAGGGGATTTTTCCCTTACCGTTTTCTAAACCAATCCCGTGTTCGTGATATCTCTAAGTCAGCTTTGGAGCAGCCGAACTTTCCCTTAGCTAAGATAGTGTAGGTGCAAGCCCGGATATCAAGTTTTCACTTTGGCCTGCGCCCGTGACCGTTAAGGGCGCCAAAACACTCAGCTACGGCCAAAACAGGGTCAGATAGGGAGGAGCTGGGGACTCCCAAGTATGGGCCCCAGGAACTTCGACAGGCCTGGTCGGAAGTCGCACACTGCACCGTCCCATTTAGATGGGGGTTCTCGAGGTTTGTTATGAGTTGTATGAAAGAAGAGTGCGCAGAATGCAATATCGCGGAAGTGATTACAACTACTCAGCAAACAACGAGGCCTAGGCATAATATAGCACAGCTAGCTAGGCCGAGGTCGCGGAGTCGCGCGAAGGTTGGGTGCAGGTTTGGGGTTGGGAAATCCGAGGGCGACGCGGGAGACGTTCGGAAGGCGAGGTCGTCGGACCGAGCCTGAATTCCGAAAGTTGGAATTTTACGCGTAAGAGATGCCTCAGTAAGGAATTAGCGAAATTCCTTACACTACCCCCCCCCTTTAAGAAAGGTGGTCGATATCAGGCACATGTCGGCGAGAAAGATACTGCCGAAGTACCGAGTGCCCTTGTAGTGAGTCAGCCGGGACCCATGTGTCATCTTCGCTTGTGCGATCCACCCAGCGTAGCAGGAAGTCGACGTGGCGTCCGGCGGGGGTCGCACGAATGCGATGGTTCAATATCTTCCAAGGTTGAAGCGTCGGGTCTGCCACAGGTCGGACATTTGGCGCCTGGTGGGGTCGGGCGACGTCGGACGACTGCGGTGCCACATAGTGGCGAAGTAAAGTGACGTGGAAAGCGTCGTGGATTTTCCAGTCGTCCGGTAGGAGAAGTTTCGCAGTGACCGGTGTCAGCATCCGAATGATGCGAAAGGGTCCCACGTAGCGGGGACGCAGTTTTGCAGGCTAGAGTGCGAATAATCCTGTCAATAAAGGGTTAGAATGGGCGATTAGTACTGCTGCGGTCTGCATTGATGGTCGGGTCAGGGCGTTGGCGATGTTGTTGGCGCCCTTTTTGTACGTGATGGTGTAGCTGAAATTGGACTCGAGGTAATCGAGCCACCGGATTTGTCGCGGGTTGAGTTGTGGTTGGCTGCGCATGTATTGTAATGACTTGTGGTCGGTTCGGACGGTGACGTCAGCTCCCGTGAGGTAACAGCGCCAGGTACGAAATGCATGCACGATGGCGAGCATTTCCTTGTCATGGACCGGATAGTTGCGCTCGGGCGGCTGCATTTTTCTTGATTCGTACGCGATGGGTTGCAGCCCGTTTCCGAAGTCCTGTAGTAGCACAGCGCCCACGGCGAAATCGCTGGCGTCCGTCACGACTTCGAACGGTCGAGATGGATCTGCCAGCCGAAGCACCGGGGGTGAACTCAAAATTTTCTTCAGCTCGTTGAAAGCCAGCTGTTCTCTCTCCCCCCAACAGAATTGCACGCCCTTATGCAGTAGATCGGTTAACGGCCTGGTTACCTCCGCCATATTCGGTACAAAACGGCGGACGTAGTTAACGAAGCCGAGGAAACTCTGCAACTCCGTGATGTTCGTGGGCGGCTTCCACTCCGAAATCGCCGTTACTTTGCGAGGGTCAATTTTAATGCCCTCCCCTGAAATCACGTGCCCCAGCTCCGACTGTAAGAACTCACACTTAGAGCCCTTAGTAATCAGTCGGTTCTGCTGCAAGCGCCGGAACACTTCCTCTAAATCCTGTAAATGCTGCTCCCGAGTCTTGCTGTACACCAGGATGTCGTCCAGATAAACGATAACTTTTTTGTCCAGCATGTCCCGAAACACCCCATTCATGGTGAGCTGGAAAGTCGAGGGCGCGTTCGTCAACCCGAACGGCATCACCGTGTACTCGTAACTGCCGTAGCGGGTGCGAAACGCAGTCTTCGGGCAGTCGTCGGTGAACACGCGAATTTGGTGGTAGCCACCTCGCAAATCGATTTTCGAGAAGAAGCGAGCCCCGCGAAGCTGATCCAGCAGGTCGTCCGCTCGTGGGATCGGGTAACGTGACTTGATCGTGACCCGGTTCAACGCTCGATAGTCGATGCACATGCGCAGGCCTCCGTCCTTTTTCGGTGTGAACAGTATCGGGGCGGCGTATGGTGACATGCTCGGCCGGATAAAACCCTTCGAAAGCAGATAATCCAGCTGTTTCCGCAACTCGTCGAGCTCCGGTTGGCTGAGCCGCCACTGTGACCGAACAGTTGGTTTTGCGCCTGGCTCCAGCTCGATCCTGTGGTCCTCCGGACGCTGAGGTGGCAGCCCGTCAGGCAGGTCATCCGCGAAGATTTCGGTAAATTCGGTCCCCGAAAAAAAAAACCCAGAGGCCTCAGAGTAAACTACAGCATAACTCTGACAAATCAGAGAAATCGGAAGTCCCAAAAAAATTACCCAGCGGGTACAGAGTTACTTTCAAAAATGACTCTGATTTTCAGAGAAACAGAGTAATTTACTCTGAAAACGTGAGGCCTGTCTATCATACTTAAAGTATGGATATTGAACTTTCGTTCTTTGTGCCACTTTCTCAATCCACTTAGGCATGCATTTCATTTGTGCTGCTTACTCTTGGTGTTCGTAATGTAGTATTCTGGTCTCATAGTGAATGTACATGACTCATGTATTCTGGTTGCAAAGTTGCCTCTCAAACTATCTAGTGGCAAGGAAAGCCCAGCAGCACTTCTCAATCTCAAATCACCTCCAGTGTACTCTCGTTCCAAACTTCCAGCAGGGTGACTTGAGATGAAGTTCTTGTAGGTATGGGCTGGATAGACCAATCAGAGCCAGGTATTCTGTTGCTTGGTGCTGCTTTGACCTGGTTTGACTCAGCCACATGCGGTGGTTGCATCTACCCGCAGCTTCGGGTGGTTGTACCGACACTCGTTGCCGAACCTGCAGTTGCCGGTCCTGACATAGTGCTGGGGTTTGGCAAGAGATTGCAGGTGGGGGTTTCGAGAAAGAAGTGGTGGAGAAAGAAATGTGGGGAAGTGAGGAGAAGAGGGGGGGGGGGAGGGGTGGGGAGAAGTGGGGAAGTGGGGCAGAGGAGGTCGGGAGGTGAGGGGGTAAAGTGAGAAGCAGCATTAGAATCAGAAAAGGCAAGAGCAATGAATACTTGCTGTGCATCAGAGGTGCCAGTTGCACAGCAAAGGTAGAATGGAAGGGATGGTGATGGTGGTGGTGGTTGGAACGGGGTTGACAAAATGGTGAAGTGGAGGAGATAGGGGATCAAATCCAAAGAATCAAAAGCTGTAGTGCATATCGCTTCGAGAGCAGCGGTGGATTGGAGACAATGCTACCATGCTTCTGATTGAGACTGTTGCGAAAGGGTACACGGCAGGACAAGGACCTAGTTCAGAACATGAAAACCCGAGGGTGACAAGAAGAAGCATAACTTGGCAAATAAACAAGGGTGAGAAAAGTGGGGGGATGCATACAGACAACTACTACCACCTGGGGTACCATACCATGCCCATTGTGTTCTGTTGACATAATATAACATGCACAATGGCATGCAGGTGAACGTACAGCACAGTCTGGCAGGCCAGGTCTCTCCGGATGCTTCTGGTGGTGGTACAGCCGAAGGCGCGGCCCTGCAGGCAGCAGCCATGCCTCTGACAGCTGCTCCTCCCACTCTTCCCACTCGCCCTCCCCTTGCCGCCACTGCTGCTGCTGCTGCTGCTGCTGCTGCTGCTGCTGCTGCGGCTGCTTCTGCTGCTGCTGTGGTGGCTTCGGGAGCTGAGCATCTTGAGCATACCCAACAACAGCAGCAGCGGCAGCTGGATTAGTGCCAGCAACTGAGTAGGAGGAGGTAGTGGTGGTCGTGCTAGTGCCACGAGCCACCAATGCTTTGCCCTGACTGCTGCTGCTCTCCGTCTCACCAGTGGTTGCTGCAGCTGCAGCTGCTGCTGCTGGTGTGGTAGACGCTGGTGGTGCAGGAAGCAGGGTGGGATCTCTATGCGGTAGCCTTGTGGCTAAGCCTGGAGTGGAAGCGGAGGGGGTGTGGGCAGGCAAGGCATGGCGGTGGCTGAGGCATGTGCGCTGTTGGCACGGTGGCCAGCTGCCATGGTGCGGTATGGACGAGAGACATGTGTGCGCGTGCGTGACATGTGGCATGCGCCATGAGTCATGTGCTACATGCCACATGCCATGCGCTGAGAAGATCATGCGAAGAAAAGAGAAGTGCGAAGAAGGAAGTGGGGAGAACTGATTAGAGGCCTGCCTGGAGAAGCAGAGACTTGAAGAAAATAAGTGAAAAAGGCTGGCTAAGTGCAGCATAGGAGCAGTAGCAATAGTGATCTACAATCATGGCAGACTGGCATTACAGTACACATGGGAATGTGTGCATACAATGACTATTTTCTCATTGAACAAAAGACTTGTGGATGCTGATATACACAAAGCATGGCATAACCGCAGCAGAGATGGGGGAATGTGTGCATACGGGGAGGGAGGAAGGCCCGGTGGTGCCGAGCCATGTGGGGGTGGTTGAACTTGCATGCCGTGCCATAGCGACAGCTGGCGGGCATTGCGGTGTGGGGAAGAGTGTGATTGGGGGAAGGAGGAGAGAAAATGTTGGTGAGCAGGGGGTGTGCGGAGGCAAGGAGAGGAGAAGCAGCAACGGAAAGAGGATGCTCGGAAAAAGGTTCGTGCAGGTACGAGTGGGGAAGGGACTGGGACAGATGCGTGGGGGGAGGGGGAGGGGGGAAGAGCAGCTGGAGAAGGGAAAGAGACAATGCAAGGAGCAAGGCAGATGAGCAAGAGCACAGCCCAGCCCTGCATGAAGGCAGCATGTTAGTGCAATGCGCAGGCACACACACATCAGCGCAACATGCAGGGCCTTACTTTCCACTCTTAAGGTAGAACGAGCAGTCAGGCCTCTCCTGAAAAACAAGAGATGTGGACGGGAGAAGAGAGGCAAGGGAGGAAGACGAGCAAGGTGAGATGGAGAATGAGATACAAAGGACTGTTTGAGAACGAGCGATGGAGACCCCTCCCCTTGGGCACTCAAGCTCTGCAGCTATGCTTTGACCTCCATGATTCCCACTGGCAATCTTCGTTCCTCATGCCTCCAAAGCTCTCTGCCTACGAGCCGAGCCTAGCACCGGTGTCGGTCTCCCACCATCACTCACTCCGCACCGCACCCGCCCTTCATGGCAACGCCATTGCTTTTCTTAGGCGCCTCAAAGATCGACTCAGCACCATGTTATCATGCAAGCAAGTTCGGGGGACCTTGTGTTGCGGTGATTTTCGCGCGGCAAGCGATGCAGTGAAACAAGCGGTGCAGACAAGCAAGCACAGACGAAGAAGCATGCACGGTCCATCAACAGAGAGCACACAGAGCGGAAATCTACCGCTTTTTTTCCTTTGCTTGAAGCCTACTACACGCACGCAGCTCACTGAGATATGTCTATATCAAGCGGTGCAGACAAGCAAGCACAGACGAAGAAGCATGCACGGTCCATCCACAGAGAGCACACAGGCAGCAAGGCAAGCAGAGGGCACAAAACTGGCACATTGCCGAAACCAAAGACCAAGGAAATGTGTGCGGGAGCACTTGTGGCCAAGGGGAGCGGAAGCACACGACTGCCACGACACTCAGATTGATGCCTCTCGCACCGCACAATGCGCTCGCATTTCATTCCACACAGTTTCTGTAGCGCTGGTCAAAGAGTCACCCGGCACTGAGCAAGGGCGTTGCATGGTTCACAATACGTGGATCGGTTTGAGAGGTATCAACTGTAGCCCTTGCGACGGACAATCGTCCGACTTAAGGCGAGTAAGCAAGTATTTTACTCACTTTAAAAGCAAGTTAAATATTACTTTGGAGGAAAATGCTCGAGAGTGATTCATTACTCGACACCAAGTGACCCCCGCGCGACTTGGCAGAGGGTTTTTATCATGATCATCACATACATACGATAGTAGTACCCATATATTATATATGCATATATGTGTGTGTGTTTTTTAAGGGGGGGCGGGTTTTGTTTACCCATATAGTACCAACACGTACTATTTGCCTTGTCACGAGTAGAGAAATGCTCCTGACACATAGAAAACAAAAATCGCCTGAAGGGACGAGTAACTCGGCAGGCGAGTAAAAAAACAGAGACCCTGGTTCCGACTGAACAGCTCTTCTTGACCAAACCTGCTGCATGCGATAAAACCGGCGCAGGAAGTTTTTGAGGCGCCTAAAAAATATTATACCTTCCTAAGGTGCCTTTTGAGGCGCCTCATGGGCAATCTGCTGCTGCATGTGTTGGAACCGGCACAAGAGCATCCTTGGGATGCTTGCTTCTCTGATGCGTAGGAGCCTTGCTCCTCTATTCTATGTGTGTATGCTGGTATCTTTCTGATACCAGAGAAGGACTATTCAGGAGTGAGTGGTGAAGGAGGAGTGGGGGCATGAGGAATCCGGAACTGAGGCGCCTGCTTATGAGGCGCCTTTTTCTGAGGGGCCTCGTGCCGAGGCTCGTGAAAAGCGGAGAGAGGAGCGACAAGCAAGCAAGCAGGGGTGAGCTGATCTGCAATGCTGTGGGCTGTGCTGCCGCATTGTGGTGAGACTCTCTGCTCTTTGAAGGCCCGCAAGGAGAGATGAGACGAGCAGACACATCTTGCATGCACGCAGAGACGAGACGAGCAAGCAAACCAAGAGGGTCAAAGACGAGAGAGTGGGACATGTCAAGATGAGCAGGCAGTGAGCAACGAGGGCACGTACTGAGCGTAAAGGGAGGCCCCTTGAGTTGAGAGCCACACTGTACGGCGCAGCAGCTGCTGCTGCTGCTGCTGACGGTGCTGCAGCTCCCAACACACCACAAGGAGAAGACATGGAGTGAGGGTTTGCGGAAACTCGCTGCTGCACTGACACCACGGCTGCTGTGGCTGCTTCAGATGAGGAGAAGGAAGCCGTGGGGGAGATGGAGGGAGAGGAGGAGAAGGAAGGGGGGGAGGCGGAGGAGGAAGACGGGGAGACATCATGCGGCAAGAGCAAGTCTTTGGGGGTAGACACTGATGCTGCTCCTCCGCTCTCAGGTGGCGGTGGGAAGGTCGCAGCATGTGCAGCTGCTGGGCTGACTGAGACTGATAGTTCCCCCAGTTTTGCATGCAGTTGCTGCTGTGCCTGTGCCTGTGCCTGTGCCTGTGCCTGTGCCTGTGCCTGTGCCTGTGCCTGTGCCTGTGCCTGTGCCTGTTCCTGTGCCTGTTCCTGTGGTTGCGGCAGTGGTTGCGTAGTGAGGCAGAGGGGCTGAGGGTGTTGCTCACCACAAGGCGACCATGCAGAAGCCAACACATGCCATTCATCCGCTGCATGTGCAGCACCCATGCCATAGAGATGCGCATGTGCATGTGCATGTGGATGTGCGCGCATATGTGCACTGAGTATGGGAATGGGAGGTGGCAGCTGATACATGTTGATCCCAGCCCAATGCACTCCTGTGTTCATAGTATGCTCATCACCAGCACCAGCACCGCTACCAGCAACGGCCATACCATTGACAGCAGCAACACCATCATCACCACCATTGTCAGCAGCAGCAGCAGCAGTGGCAGCAGGAGCTGAATCAGCTAGGCCCGGCCATAGCTCAGACTCAGGTGTAGGTGCCGAGAAGCATGTCCCAGCACCATCCATAAGCCATGACGACATCACATGTGCCTTCATCCCATGCGCACTGCCATTGCCCACACTGCCCACACTGCCAACATTGCCCACACTGCACGCACCAGATGGCTGCTTGCATGGCATGAATGGCACGCCGTGGTTCTGGTACGAAAGGGCAGGCATGGGAGCAGGCATGGGGGGAGCAGGAGACACGTGGGAGCTACCGCTGTCATCGCTGCATGTGCTGTCGTCACTGCTCACACTGCTACGCCCGCCACTGCCGAAACCACTGCCGCCGAACCCACTGCTGAGCCCACTGCCAAAGCCACAGCTGGAGAAGCTTCCACTGCCATTCCACCTGCCCGCGCCTACAACCTCCAAGTCGCTGCCGTTACCGCTGCCATTGCTGCTGCCATTGCTGCTGCCCGTACTCCTGCCACTACTGCTGCTGCTCAGCTCTCTGCTGGCCTCTTCCCCCTCGGCCAGCCCACCGGCAAATCGTGGCTCGCTATAAGCAACTGCTGTGCCGTTACAAGCAGCCAGTGTTTGTTCCGAGAGGGAGGAGGGTGGAGAAGGCAGCGTGGCATACAATGGAGCGGGGTCTTGAGGGAAGGGATGGAACGGAGGAGCAAATGGTGTGGAGAAGAGAGGAGGGAGGAGGATGGAAGTTGCGAGAGACGAAACCACAGCGCCACCACCAGGTACAGCTGATCTGGCATGGAAACCAGCAGCACCCGCAGCAGCAGCCTCACCAGCAGAAGAAGCAGCAGAAGTAGCAGAAGCTGCAGCAGCCAGCACTTGACAACCCGCCAACGCAGTGAGAGGAGGAGGAGGTGCAGCAGCAGCAGCAGTAGCAGTAGCAGCAGCTGATCTGGCATGGAAACCAGCAGCACCCGCAGCAGCAGCCTCACCAGCAGAAGAAGCAGCAGAAGTAGCAGAAGCTGCAGCAGCCAGCACTTGACAACCCGCCAACGCAGTGAGAGGAGGAGGAGGTGCAGCAGCAGCAGCAGTAGCAGTAGCAGCAGCTGATCTGGCATGGAAACCAGCAGCACCCGCAGCAGCAGCCTCACCAGCAGAAGAAGCAGCAGAAGTAGCAGAAGCTGCAGCAGCCAGCACTTGACAACCCGCCAACGCAGTGAGAGGAGGAGGAGGTGCAGCAGCAGCAGCAGTAGCAGTAGCAGCAGCTGATCTGGCATGGAAACCAGCAGCACCCGCAGCAGCAGCCTCACCAGCAGAAGAAGCAGCAGAAGTAGCAGAAGCTGCAGCAGCCAGCACTTGACAACCCGCCAACGCAGTGAGAGGAGGAGGAGGTGCAGCAGCAGCAGCAGTAGCAGTAGCAGCAGCTGATCTGGCATGGAAACCAGCAGCACCCGCAGCAGCAGCCTCACCAGCAGAAGAAGCAGCAGAAGTAGCAGAAGCTGCAGCAGCCAGCACTTGACAACCCGCCAACGCAGTGAGAGGAGGAGGAGGTGCAGCAGCAGCAGCAGTAGCAGTAGCAGCAGCTGATCTGGCATGGAAACCAGCAGCACCCGCAGCAGCAGCCTCACCAGCAGAAGAAGCAGCAGAAGTAGCAGAAGCTGCAGCAGCCAGCACTTGACAACCCGCCAACGCAGTGAGAGGAGGAGGAGGTGCAGCAGCAGCAGCAGTAGCAGTAGCAGCAGCTGATCTGGCATGGAAACCAGCAGCACCCGCAGCAGCAGCCTCACCAGCAGAAGAAGCAGCAGAAGTAGCAGAAGCTGCAGCAGCCAGCACTTGACAACCCGCCAACGCAGTGAGAGGAGGAGGAGGTGCAGCAGCAGTAGCAGTAGCAGTAGCAGTAGCAGCGCACATGCTCTCCGTCCCACGCAGCCACGCCACTGGTATACCTGCCACAACACCTGTGCCCGCAGCAGCATGCAGCGCAAAGCCATGCGGGTGTGATGCCGTAACAGCAGCTGCACCACCAGCTGTAGCAGTAGCAGCAGCAGCAGTAGCAGCAGCAGCAGCAGCAGCAGCAGCAGCAGCAGCAGCAGCAGCAGCAGCAGCAGCAGCAGCAGCAGCAGCAGCAGCAGCAGCAGCAGCAGCAGCAGCAGCAGCAGCAAGAGCAGGAGGAGGAGGAGGAGACACCAGTGATACGCAACAGGCGCCCAAATAGCTGCTTGTGTGAATAAGGTGAGGATTTGCACTGACCCTGTCGGCGTTGGCGTCAGTGTGTGTGGCAACATGACCAGCAGCATCAGCATCATCAGCTATGAGCGCATCCACAGCTGCATCTAGCACTTGCAGCTCCAACAACCCATCCACATCGCCATCCCCATCCCCGACCCCATCCTCCTCCTCATCGGTAGAATTGCCAACAGCGCCACTGTCGGATATACCACCATCACCATCACCATCACCATCACCATCACCATCACAATCACAATCAGAATCAGCATCAGCCTGAGCATGAGCACCAGGAATCACCCATGCGCCCTGGCTTCCCGCCACTGCCCCAACACCACTGCACCCGGCGCCTACACCAAGCCCCCCTGCCGTCCAGCCGGGGTGAGCTGCAGAGATGTCCTCCCTCTCTCGCCTCTCTTCTGCACCAGCGCCCTCGTTGCCACTGCCGTTGCATGCCCTATCCTCCTGACCCCTCTGCTGCTGGTGCTGCTGTTCGTCCCCCTCCATGCCATGCTCTCCATTCCAGCACAATATCGAGGTGGCGATAGCAGTCGATAGAGAGGTAGAAGCCAATGCAGAGGCAGAGGCAGAGGCAGAGGCAGATAAACAAGCTCCTGCCTGCATAGCCCCCTGTTGGTCACCTCTCTCCTCATTCTCCGCACCCTGCTTTCCACTCTCATCCCCACTTCTGAGGCACCTCAAAAGTTGACTCTCATCCCAACCTCCTCCCCCACCTTCCCACAAGCCACCATTCTCACCGCACAATCCCCCTGTCTCCTGCTGCAACCGCAATCGCTCTCCCCTCCCTGCAACGTCTCCCCACCTCCTCACATGACTGCTACCACTCCCTCTCTCCCCTCCCCACTGCCCCTCACTCCCTTGCACTCCCACTACTACCTCCCCACACTGCAATACAACTCTCCCCGCCTGCCTCTCCTCGCTCCCCACCACCACCACTGCCCCATCCCTTGCCCTTTCCCTGCCGTTCATCATACTTCCCCTCTCACTCCTCATCACCTCCTCCTCTTCCTCTTCCTCTCTCTTCTCTTGCATCAATTTCCCGTCCATCCCTCCCGTTTCATCACTCACATCGCTCTCCTTCGTTCCCTGGCCTGCCATCACTTCATGCCCCCAGCACACAGCAGTCCTGGAAATTTGGCCTGGGACCTGTTGGGTGACCTACACCACGACTTGCACACATACACGCACGCATGCACACACGCACGCTCGCGCACACACGCACATACACACACACACACACACACGCACACACACACACACCCACACACACACACACACACACGCACGCACGCACACACACACACACGCACGCACGCACACACACACACACGCACGCACACACACACATTGCAACAGGCAGTCAAGGAAAGAGTCAGCAGCGCCTTGCCTCGCCCTTAAATCCTCAACAGCATCTAAGAGGTTATCAAAATCAGACAAGCTACAGTAAACAGGTTGCACTGATGCTGGAAGGATCAGCTAGGGCTGTGCTGCTGCACCATCTCTTGCATCAATCTCCCGTCCCTCCTTCCAAGTTCCACCTGATTCCACCTGATTCCACCTGATTCCACCTGATTCCACCTGATTCCACCTGATTCCACCTGATGCCATTGGTGGTGTCACGTGATGCAATGCAACGCCATTCTATAGCAGAACACAGGCTAACCACACGCTGGCATGCAGACACACATGCACACCAAGCCTCGCTACATCTCTCCACGCGTCTACCCACAACCTCTTACCCTCTCCCCTCCCATCTCACCCCTCCTCGTCTCACCGCTGCTGGCGTAGGTGGCAGAATAGCCACGGGCGCGGTTGGTGCATGCGCGGTGGTGAAGGGCGCGCTGTAATACGCGAAGGACGAGCGCAGCAGACACGCGGAGAAGGCGGACGAGCTCATGGCGGGGGGGACTGGGGGCGGGCGGGGGACAGCGTGAGCAGGGTCAGGATGAGGGGGGGGGGAGGGGAGAGGGAAAGGGGGAATTAGAAGAGGTGGAAGGGCAGGGACAAGGGGCGACTTCAGAGGGCAAAGATTGATGCTTGTTCGATTGCTGGGATTATGAAGTGAACAGTGTGTTGGAACGAGTGTGCATGTGTATGTGTGTGTGAAATATAATATTTGCAAGTGAGTTGAAGAGAGAGAGGGAGGGGATGGGGGGGAACGACCAGCAAAACGAGAGACAGTGCAACACACTCAAGAGGTGGCGATGGAAATGATGTAGCAAAGACTGAGTTTACCAAAAAACAAAACAAAAAAGCGTAAAACAACCGAACAAAGAAACATGGAAAGGCAGGAAAAAAAAAAAAAAAAAAAAAAAAAAAACAACCAAACAAACAAACTACCTGAATAAAGCCTTGTGTCTGTCCCGACTTCCTCAATCCCTCTTCCCCACCTCCCCCGCTCTCTCCTTCCCAAACCCTTGTTCTCCCCTATTGCCCCTTTTTCTAACCACCGTTCTCCACAACCTCGATTTGAATAGACATCTTAAATCGCATGCATTATGAAATCGAATTTAGTTTTTTAAAGCATATAAATCTCATTACCTTCTACCTGCGACCCCCTGCTGGAGACGCAGGCCGTTTCCCGCGAGGGCAGCACGCCTGCCACGTCACGAAATCCTCTCGTGTCAACGGATAACGTGGACGCCGCGGAGGATGCGACGTGCAATGCTGACGTGGACGATTGCCGCCACTCATACGCCTGCCCTTCAACGACCCGCGGGCTACTACAAATATCTCGCGTCGACGTCGTGCTGGCGCCACCGTTGCCGCCGCCGACGCCGCCGCCGCCGTAAATTCCGCCGTCTACCGTCATGCTACTGGGTCGCAATGGCTGTTGTTTCCCGACGACGAGGAGCGAGCCACGTGGCTCAGACTCGAACTGCCCGCGACCACCGCCCATCCGCGAGTCACCCGCGGTCATCGGCGCTATCACTACTTCCGCGGCGACTGAGACATGCGCCTCAGGGGGCGTCGTGCTCATGCCGCGCGGTGGCGGTGCTTCTGACAAGACGTCGCATGGGGCCGTGATTCGCGGCGGAGAAAGGACGGACATCTTGTGCGTAGCTTGCGCGCCTGCGGCGAAGGACGGGGTGGACGATGCCGCGCCAGCTGCGGCAGACGCGGGAGCAACAAGAGAATCATTTCTACCAGCAGGAGAGGCAGCAGGGGCAGCGAGGGCAGCAGGGGCTGCGAGGGCAGCAGCGGCAGCGTCGAGTCGCGCCTCTTGTCGCACCGTCTCTCGGCTCCATCGCGGGTGGCGCGGCGGCATGGTCAACACGTTGCTGCTTGCTCGCTCGCGCCGCGTCGAGCTGAGCATTCACGCGCGGGGAGCAATGGCTTGTAGCCTCGGCGCACAATGCGTACGGCGGCGGGAGCCGCCGCGCTACTACTAGCAGTTGTTGTCGAAGCGGGAACCGTCTCGAGAGAATGACATAGTAGGGTCCCGGAGCTCCTAGTGCGGACGGCGGCGCAAAGCGATATCACCCCGAGGTTATTCTCCACGATGAGACGTCAAATGCGGGCGGCTGGGGATGGCAGGGCAGCAGGGAAGCAGCGGTCGCCCTAAGCTGCTCGCATTGCCACGTGTCTGACGTTGGCCTTGCGCCGTAAGTGCGGTGAGATATACTTAGCGTGGAACGGAACTAAACACTAAACCGCCGCGACGAGATGATGAGCTTGCTCAGATACAAGTTGAGCGCGATGGAATTGAGGCAAGGCAGAGCACATCAATGTACACCAAGCTCTTGTTCCTGCAGAGGACGCACACGCCGCAGCCTTAGCAGCTGGTTGTTTACAGATTTGCTAGAGGGCTGTTGAGCAGAACGTTTGGTGTAACGAGAATCGGGGATGTTAAGAAATTCTTTAAGTGGGAATATGGCGGGGTTTTTCTGTGCTCTCCACTAGAGTGTCTGGAAGGAGGGCTAGTGTCTTGGCAACCCCCGTGGCGACACGCGGCGGAACATCCCCATGCATCCATGCATGGTATGGGCCGCCATCTGATGTATGGTTGCATGCACACTAAATCCTGTTTACTATCGTGTTGTAAAAGAAACATCCTATAGATAAGCATCGACTTTGCTCCTACACATTGGTAAGCACTAACACTTATATCTGTAAACCATGAATAAAGGTTAAATTAATTTTATTTTCACTATTTATATATGGTGGATCAACAAATAATACAGTATTATAAATATTTGTATTCCCTTAATAATATTTTACTACTTCCATTCTCTTATAGTTCTCCTCGACCACCAGCCAGGTGTGCCGATTTCTCTACATTAATATGACGATACCACATTTTTCATTAGCTGTACCTTATACAGTATATGCTGTACTATCAGTGTCTTGTTTCGCTTGATTTCGCTGCCAGTGGGGATAGCACAACGCATGCTTGCATGCGCCACGATCAGAGCCCAAATCCCTGCTGCGACGCGATATCGCTAGGCTACCAGCGGGCAACGGCACTTCCCTCGGGAGGGAAGGAATAGCTACACGGTTGTGTGCACAGCGCCTGACAGAGAAATGGGAGGGATGAAAGACCAACTGCAAGATGCCCGAAAACAAAAACGTACACTGTAAGCTGTCTCAAGTGGGAGGTGGTAAATGTCGGCCTCCGTCAAATAGGTGACCAGAACGGAAATTGCAGTGGTGCTCTGTCGCGCAATATCAGAAAGGGAGTTTTGAAAGCTCAACAAAGCCGAGCCTCAACCATGTGAGGATCTCCTGAAGGCCAATCACGCCTGTCAACTGAACGATAACCATGCGCCTGATTGGAGGAAGTTCAGCGGAGCAGAGGCACAACAGCTTGCGTTTGGATTCACGAGCCTTCATTGGTTGACTTTTAGACCAGCACGACAAGCTGTCTGTCCGACAACCGTAAAGGTTTCCCCACCATCACGTGCGGAGCGGAAATTCTATCCCCTCCCTCCCCTCCTCAGCCTGAACCGGAATGCGTGGAAACATGTTCGGTCTGTCCAATATAGAATTGCACTGTCGAAGTCGAAGGAAAAAACAACCAATGTAGTGACGATAGTTGCAACCAGCCGATGTTGCAAGTAACGGGTCTTCCTAACTCGTTCTTATGGTTTAGCATAGCACATAAATGCACTAAAGTATGATAGTGTTACGGGTGCAATGGAACTGTACAGATTTACAAATCCTTACTGAGGCCCTCGTTAGCGAGGCCATCCCGAGGGTCACGCGACGAACCTGTTCGGCCTATTTCGTCGCACCGAACCACCCCCGAGTCGGCCTCCGCCCCAATCGCAACATCACCAAGCCATCCATTCCCGACCTCTCCGCCTTGCTAGCTTTTCCCCTAGTTAGGTCTCGTCACTTTCATTGTATGGACATGCAATATTCAACCTTCCTCGTTATTTATTATTCTGCGCACTCTGCAAGTTCATTCATAACACCTGGTATCAGAGCTACTTTCCTAGCCTACCCCGCTTTTTAGAGTGTAATACCCCTCGGGGGGGGGGGGGGGGAGGGCGGGGGGGGGGGGGGGGGAGACGAGGAAGGATGTCTTGGGGTCCAGGAGTTGCGTAGGCCGGCCAGGAGAACGAGCTATTTGCTCCTCGTGGCCATAATTTTATGGGCACTCCTTCGGCACCGCCAGATCCTTGCCTCGAACGTTCGCGATCAACCGTGGCCTCCCTCCCCCCAGGCAACGGACAGCTGTAGCTTGTCAGAATAATGAAGGAATGAATGACTGAACTAGCACGCAGGTGGGTACAAGTAGGAAACCTAAAAGTGTTGTACCCTATATGAACTACCCCACTACAGCCTATACAGACTATAGCATATAAGTTTGACACACCCCCATAGGCAAAGTGGGGGAGAACAAGATGTTACAAGACCAGTCAAGAAAAGCAAAGCAAGCTCAGGGTGGATCACGACGACACCACGCATTCTGAGCACAAGCAAATGGCCACAAGGCCAGTTCACATGCAGAGTTATATAAAGGAGAACAAGCAATACAGTGAACACAACCTAGCAAGTGTAAGCATGCAGGTATATGTATAGAGATCACAGTACAAGCAGAATCAAGAAGTAAGCAAGTGAGGCACAGTAGGTACAAGGCCTAGAACAGTACAGAAACGCTGATGATCACAAGGCTGAAGTGCCTTGATGAAAACATCAGCAGAGTTGGCCCGAGTGGCCACGTAAGCTAGACGAAGCTGACCACGCTGCTGCAACTCTCGAGCAAGGAAGTAGCGCAGAGCGATGTGCTTCGTTCTGTGCTCCAGTCTGTGCTCCTGACACAAGGCAATCATGGCCTTGTTGTCGACGTACAGCACTGGAGGAAAACGAGGCGGCTCTCCCAGGTCGGTCAGCAGGTAGGTGAGCTAGCGTAACTCCTGTGCAGCCATGGCCCCAGCGTAGATCTCAGCCTCACAACTGGAGCTGAGAACAGAAGACGAGCGGGTAGACCGCCAAGAGACAGAGCCGGAGCCAAGGCTGAAGGTGTAACCCTGTGACGACCGCTGCGTAGCCAAGTCGTCAACCCAAGAAGCGTCTGCGTTACCGGTGAGGACAACTCGAGCCCGTCCTCCAAGCACGAGCCCCATGCCCGACGTACTGCACTAGTAACGCAACACCCTCTTAGCTGCATCCATGTGCTCCTTCCTGTGTCTGCCAGGAGCGACATAGCGTGCTAGAATGCTAAGAGGGTAGGCAAGGTCAGGTCGAGTGCAGGTCATCAGGTACATGAGGCAGCCCACAAGCTCTGGATACGGGCCACTCGGCTCTACGGGCTCGTCCGAAGGTGGAGCTGAGAGCGAGTGACCGGTAGGCAGAGGAGTGGACTGTGGCGAGGAGTACGTGAAGCCGAAGCGCTGAAGGACCTGCTGCACCATGTGTGACTGAGTCAAGGTAATGGTGCGCTGTGCTCTGTCCCGGGTGATCCGCAAGCCAAGATAGCTTGTCAGCTCACTCAGGTCTGTGCACGTGTGTCTCTTCTGCAACTCCGACTTCACGTGGGCGAGTGCCTCAGTGTCAGCAGTAGCAAAGACCAAGTCGTCTACGTACACGAGAACGTAGAACGGCGGCAGAGTGGTTTCAGTGCATAGAAACAGCGACGGGTCAGCAGTGGAAGGAGCAAACCCAAGAGCAGCAAGAGTCGTCCTCAGTGTGTCGTGCCACTCACGAGGTGCCTGGCGGAGACCGTAGACTGGCCGCCGGAGGCTCCACTGGGTACCAGGAGGAAACGACCCAGTGAAGCCAGGTGGGCGGCGCAGCCAGATCTCCTCGTGCAGACTGCCCTGTAGGAAGGCTGTGCTGAAGTGAAGAGAGTGTAGCTCGTAGTCACGCTGAGCGGCGACGTGCAGCAGCACCCGAAGAGTGGTCATCTTCGGGGTAGGGGAGAAGGTCTAGAAAAAGTCAACTCCCTGTCGCTGACTGAAGCCTCGTGGGACGTAACGCGCCTTGAAGACAGGCGGAGAACCCGGCGGCCGCTTCACCCTGAAAATCCACATGCCACTGACGATGTTCGCCCCAGGTGGGGGAACCTCGTCGACGTAGGTGCCTGTGGACTTCCAGGAAGCCATCTCTGCGTCCATGGCTGCCTGCCACTGAGAGGAGTAGGGACCCTCTATCGCGGGGTCGGGATGTCTGGTGCATCCGGGTCTCCCTCAGGGGCAAGCAGCATGGACACGAGATGAGGTAAAGCAGCGGCAACGTACTCAAACTCCTCCTGCCTGTCCTCAAGGACGTCCATGCCAAGAGCACACTCACCCCCGACGGACGGAGGACAGACAGACGCAGACTCAGACTGAGCAACAAGACTAGTGGCGTAGTCTAGACGACAGGCGGCAGCAAAGTCAACAAGCTCAGCAACTAGAGCAGACGCAGCAGTGGACTCAAACGAAGGGTCAGTGACAACAGTGGACAGAAAACGCATGACAGTAGGACTAGCAGCACGAAGGGAGTCATACTCCGGGTCCGGACCGTCAGTAAGAGAGGACGTAGGAGGAGACGGCAGAGGGACACGATGTGGAGCAGTAGAAGGACGCAGAGTCATAGAGTGAGTGCCGCGGACAGGAGGAGGACGCTGACGCGGAACACGTTGACCAGTGCAAACAGCGCGAACATGCGACTCAGGACGAGACTCAGGTGACGCAGGACGAGACTCAGGCTCACGACGCTCCGTAAGACCTCTAGTCGGTCCAGAGTAAGGAGAAGGACTAGGCAGTGGAGAGGCTGTCTGTAACTGCGACTGTGAATGGACAGGCGGTGGACTCAGTAAGGGAGGAGTAGGACCAGTAGAAGGCGGGAGACCAATAACATGCTGAAGGAGCGGAACGTAGTACGGCC